ATCCTGAGGACTGGATAGCCAATTTAGCTCTGCATTATTCCTCCGGACGATTTCCAGGGAATCTTGATTCAGTTCCGGGTGTCTGGATGATTGCTGGAAAAATCTTTCTCGTGTTTATATTTGGATAAGATATCAGTTGAAACACTCTTTTTCGCTTTGATGTATCACTTTTTTTGTTTGGATATCGGTATTAAACATTCCTTCTTGTGTAGGACTTATATTATATCCAGGTATTCAGATCATGCATTAGCTCGGCTTTGGCAGGAATGAAATACTACTTTTAGGCCAGCAACTGTCTCGGTAAGATTATCTGGACGGTTGAAAAGTGAGGTCTTTGTGAATCAAACACCTACTTGAACTTAGCTAGATTCCTGGATTTCATCATCTCTCTAACAACAGCAAGGGTAACAATCTCAGAGTCATCCCAAGCGTCGCCATCATGGCTCTTCGCACCCTCACCTTCGGTCGATTCTGTAGAGCTTTAAGAGCGACTCTTCCTTTCCATTTAGGAGCAAACGACATAAAGAAGAACAAAATATTGAGAAACTTAGATAACGAAAATTTTAAAAGACAAAACCACCGACTATAAGTAACAAAAATGCGGAGCTCGTAAAAACGTGACCAGCCGCCATGCGCGCCCAGCGCCTCAAGTGGGTGCAAAAACATGAACGTTTACCCATAAATCCTTAAAGTCTCATCGTTCATGGTTTACAGTCGAACCCGGCGTTACGGGCACCCGCTTAATACGGCCACCTTGTCATTACGAGCAGTTTGCTTTGTCCATGTGGTAAGCTCATACATTTTCTATTAAATTTCCACCCGGACAACGTCAACGGACACTTGTTTAATTCTTGCCGCCGATATGAACAGATTGTCATGGGCAGATAATCTCGCTAATACGGACACTTCCGCGGTAACAAACCTTTCCGTCTTGAATATGGTACTTCGCATAGAACGCGAGTTACACGTTTCAACCCGTTTTGAGTTTCTGGTAGTATATACAAAATATAACAAGGTAATTTTCGACTTTAATAACACGGCCCGCTTAATACGGACACTCCGTTAAAACGGACAACTTTTATAGCCCCTTCCGCAGTGTGCGCATTAACGTAGTTTGACTGTACTTTTTAGAGACAACGTTTTCTCAATCAGGTATGTATTACATGGCTGCTGGGGAAACTGAAAACCAGCTTCCAATTGAGCTTTAACTTTTGGCTTCTCTCTTAGATAGTAGAGACCTTTTCTCCTTTTTTCCTAGGCTAATACAAAGTTGCACAGGAGATCGTCTGCAGCAAAATTCGTCCACAAAACAGTCCCATTATGCTCAACATAAACGCAGGCCACTCTTTAATCTCAAGCCTCAATAGAGAGGAGTAGAGTGATGTCACGGTACCATGGTAGCAATCTAATCTAGGTATAAATAAAGTCAGAGTTCCTAAGATAATGTTCACTAGCTAGTATTCAGTATTAATAACATTTAAATTTTAAAAAAGTGTAAGATATCAACATATTGAGTTACCAGTAGTTAGTCTTTGCCTCAGTTGTTTCAACCAGCCGTACTGATTGTCATTTGCGTTGTTTCTATTATAGATGCCCCCGAATTTCTTTTGTTCATCGTTGGAAATGATATCAAAAAGTTGACATTAGGTGATGCCCCTGTGGAGAGTACACTTGTGCCAGGGAAGCAGTTCGATGGTTCGCCGTTATTTTTAGATTTTAATTACAAAGAAAACCGCTTGTACTGGGCTACTTCCAAGTCCATTTATCGTTATTTTCTCAGCGATACGTCTAGTAAGTGAAACATTATACATAATTACTAACTACAATAGTATACAGTGAGCCACAGGAGCCGATACTAACTGGCAAGTGGCTGCTTAATGGAGAGGTTGGCCGCTAGCTTTCCCCACTGGCGTGTTCCGTTAGGTTGTTAATAGGCCCATTTGCTCTGAGAGAATATGTGACATTCGGATGACATCTTTTTTATGAAAATGAAAGTTGTAATATATAGATTTAGCCAGGGCTAAAAGCGGAGCTCTCTATAATATTTATGGTTTGCAAAATATAAAATTGTATAATGCTAAAGGTGATATTACACGAGACGATTTTTGGCGCAACACAGGGTTGCAACATTGTTGCGACATTGATTCGAGTGGTTACAACATAGTTCCCTCATTGCAACGCTGTGTTATGCAATTAATCTGAGTTTAATACTTTAGACAACACGGATACACAAACAATTTCCGCTTTCCATTTTCGTCTTTGTTGACTTTTTAGTCGTCTCTGCTTCACAAGTGGTGGGTGGCTATGCGATTCCCCTACAAGATAACCTCGAGTTGCATTTGGGTTGTCATACCTGTTGATTGAGTTAATTTACATTGGTATGCCTGTGATGCGGGGTCACTTGATTACCAAAATTTCTCGGTTGGGTAGATTACCACATTTTCTTATGGGGCTACGCTCGCGCGCGCGTGGAGCTCCGCTATGATTTTACCTTCGAAAAACGATTAGTGGGCCACATTTCAAACAAAATATTAGGGTTTTCAAACCTGCACCGTTTTCTTAAATAAAATGAGTAAGTTCGTACCCGGTCACGTGACCAAAACGTGATTTTTTAACGTTTTGAATTACCATGAACACAAATTTTGCACTTAAACTTCAAGTAAACTGTTGAAAAGCTGATGTGGTAACGTTTACAGGACATCTGAGCGTAACTATCGAACGTTTAACAAGATACAAACAAAAAGTAGTTTTGACCACCATGTTGGAGGACAAGAGTAAAACTCGTATCCAACATGAAATATCGATCAAAGTGCCATAAAACATCTCTCTTGAATGCGTTTCCTTTGAATGTTCGGGTGTAAGATAATTTTTATGTGTTGTGTCAATTTTTGGCATCAGCAAGATTCCAACGCATTGTTTTTTTAAAGGAAATATTGATCACGTGACCTCTCGTTTTCACATGACGTCACGGCAGCCACATTTATGTACAAAACAAGGAATCGGCGGCCATGTTTTTATAAAAAAAAATCCTGTGGCAATTAAACTCTTTTCAAAGGTTAAAACTTTCTTTTGCTCCAGGCAGTTTGCAAAGCTGCCGACCACGAACCTGAAAACGATCTATACAGTTAAGTCTCATGAGAGATGCAACGTCATTCACGAAAATTCGATATAGTAAACATCTACAAAAAAAGATCTATATTGCAGTTTAAAAGTGTTGTTTGACCCAAGTTAAGACCAGATGCCAAACCGACAAGATAAACATTCAGATAAATTTTAAAAACTGCTCGCAGTTCGGACAGTAACGATGCGCGGGTCACTGACCTTGTTCATTAGTTACATAGACTTTTCCCTATCCACAAGATAATCCACTAATCCAGTGGATAGGTGTTGAGGAAACAAATTGTTTATGACTCCGACTGGAAAGCCTAACGCAATTGCTTCACATATCTACTCGGAAGTCTACCGCTGTCTACTTTTTGAAGTGGTACCTGCTGCCCTTCGCTAAATTTTATTTCATATTACGTTATCGACATTCGGCCTAAATTAAGTTAAGACGAAATTGTGCGTGACCTCCTTGTTAAAGCCAAGCTGAAACAAACAAAGACGCCAACTTCAAACACACCTTCCATAAGAAAAATGCAACTCCATTAGATGCAAAAACATTCATTCTTATTCAAAAACGTTCGTGTGGAAGGAACGCGTGACGCACGCCTAAGAATGTCTGCGGGGAGGCTATGCAAAACCTGGCCACTCATTAAAGATAGTGTATCATCATGTACATTCGAAAACACTGGCCAAAATCACCTCATTAAGCAGAAGACGATCACATGTACATCTAAAGATCTCATTTACATGCATGATACAATATCGCAAAAGTAAAAGCACCCCAAACACATCAGCGTAAAATTGAGTTCTCTTATAAGCAAACTTAAAATCCTAGAAAAATCATACGTCCGGGAAATTTCAACGTACAGATTTATACTTGGACTCTTTTTAAAGCTTAGGAAGTCTACTTTTCACAGAAAAAAACGATTTATGGTGCGCCGATCTGGCCTTCCGAATTATTTTGGTTCTTCAACTTGTCACAATATATTTTGCGGCTTTATTAGTTTTTCTTAGCGGCATAAACAGACAAACGTACAGAGTATTTGGGTAAATTATTTTGAACTTAATTCGATTGCATTTGCCCACTGCTTTATTATGCTGCCGTCTGACAGCATCGCGTCTTCGCGAGGCTGATCGTTGGCAATCGTACAAATTTTTAATTTATTAATTTACTTTGTTGCAAGTACACGTTTATGGTTTGCTTTGCAGATATACAGACCGTTCACAGAGACTTGCCTCTTGTGCAGGGATTAGCGGTGGACTGGCTTGGCAATAACATATATTGGCTTGGCCAGCGTCACATAATGGTTTCCAGGACGGACGGTCGTTTTAAAAAGACTCTGGTTGGGATTCAGGCTTGGCACAGGAACCCGCTCGTTCTGGACCCTGAAAAAGGGTAAGATTTACTCGTTGTGAGCAAGTAAAGGGTTGGTCTATTTTACCTGTGAGGCGTCGGGGTGGGGGGTATTTTGCTGGAGGGTCATTTCTAGATAAGGGGACGTTACATGGGGGGTCATTTGAATAAATTTTATTAAAGTAGTACAAAGCAGTAATGAGCGTGAATTGAAATTGAACAAGAACGCTCTTAAAAACCTGTGAGTCTCGCTTGCTTAGAGATTAAGAACTAAGACACTCCTAAAAAGGTCGATTCGACCTTGCTTGGAGATAAAATAACAAATGAGGAGGCAATTAATTCTTAAGGAGCCTGTGTCCGGGCGTGTAAGCCATAACGACTATGTGGGGAACTGAGAAAAAAATGCTAGCTAGGCAGGTTACACAGTAAGCATAGACTGTCTTTGGTACATACAATAATCAGGAACTTCAATGTCTTCAGTTTTAAAACTGGAAAAAGATTATAATGTTACAGTTGGGTGAACTTGAGCCAATTTGCTAACCATTAATTATTATTTGGGTAAACCTCAATATAAACTATGAGATTGCTTATTAAACGTGATATTTTTATGAAGTTAAATTTTAGATGAGAGAAACACCATTCCGTGGACACTCACCCTTCTTCTTCTCTTGTGTTGTTTCCTTGTCATGCCTTGTGTTCTATTGTTAGCCTTCGACATCAAAGAATACTAAATGATATGGCTCCTGGGTTCAAACTTCAAAAAAACTTCAAAAACTATTACTAAAAAAATGAAAATAATTATAAATCTAAAGTGACACTAAGGAAACGGGAATTTAAATTCACTTGCTTTCGAACTCTTCGCCTTTGCAACAACGTGGCTTCCTGCAGGAAACAGGATTTCCTTGGAATAAGTTTTTCATACCCTTTTTAATCGCCGGTCGAGTAATCTTTTGAAATCGTGTTCAGCGAAACGTGATCAACATAGCACGTCATTTCAGTCATCGCCGAAAACAAACCACAAGCACATCACAAGACTCGTTTGCATACAATAAAAGTTTACAGAGCCTGACCATCGTAGTTTTGCTAATCTAAGATTATTCTTCTTTTTTTTCAACCACTGAAGTATTCACTTGTTTCAAAGTAATCAACGCTTTCAAGCGATACGATTCGTGGACAGACCCGTTCCGGAAAAGATCTACATCTTTCGCATTACCTTAATTTCCTGCATGGCTTTCGTCACTCCGAGATACTTATCCCACGTTTCCACGGCTATGATCTCCTTTTCGGGGAGGACACACGAAAAAAAAAAAAAAAAAAGGAAAGAAACGCTTGCCTTTTCTGAGGCTCGCCGCTAAAGCAAGCGAGACTAATTTGACAGCCGAACAGCCCTCTCTGCTCGCCGCTAAGTACTTTTGGACAAACATCCCTGGAGGCGAGTATTGAAGAGAGACTGCTGTTTTTTTTTTTCTTTTTTGGCGCAGGCTATGTCAGAGCATAAGTACCCACAGACGGCCCAAACTCACGTTACGAGGGAAGGGTGTAATGTAATCTACATACCATAGGTGACGCGCCGGTGTCGCGTTACAGGCGACCGTTGAAAATATAAGAGACTTTGTATGAGAAATATATTACCGAGATCTGCGAACGCTAAATAACGCTAAACCTTACTTTTTCGTAAATGAAACGAATAAAAAAGAGTTACCTGCAATATATTCCACGGCACTTTGGTGTTTGATTGTCGTTTACTGATTTTTTTTTGTCATACAAAGTCTCTTATATTTTCAACGGTCGCCTGTAACGCGACACCGGCGCGTCACCTATGGTATGTAAATTACAGTACACCCTTCCCTCGTAACGTGAGTTTGGGCCGCCTGTGGCGTAGCAAGCGTTTCTGTGCGGTTTAGGAGCAAAGAACGAGGAACAAGTGTCAGAGACGGCGCGAAAAATGGCGCATTTTCTGGTTCTCGTTTAATTTCTCGCGCGATCAAAACCGAAAATCCCCTTCTACGGTCTTTTTTTGCTCCGAAACCAAAAGGAAACGTTTGCTACGCAGGCTAAGTGCCAGGTAGAGTTACGTAATGGTGGAAAAGTTGATGCGTTCATCACTGGTTCATTCTCATTAACTGATGTCTTGTGGTATCGATATAGGTTTATGTATTGGTTTGGTGTGCTACGGTCGGAGGGCAGGATATATAAACTTCCTATGTATCAAACAGAATACCATTTGCCATTGATTACTTCGACCGAAAACTGTACTGGACAGCAGGAAATTATCGCCGATCATCAGCGACAGGAATAAAATCTCACAAGCTGGACCTTGATGACACAATCGACGGACAGAGAACCGAGGTCAGTACTACTAGACGAAAAAATGGATTTAATGATATTTGCCTCCAAGACAAATCTAAGACATTTCAAGGTTAGCCTAGTCCAGGCTCCAAGATGGTGGGGAAAACGGCTCCGACAAAAAAACGCGGAAAACCGCGTTAGGACTAAAGAGCTGAAGGGACACAAGCTCGTTTTTTGCTGCTTGTGCTCTTTCAGTTTTCGCTCGTCTACACGGACCGAAAGCCTGGCACAGGCTATATTGAAAGGTTAGTTGTAGAAATCAAATGAAGTCGACGAGCGGTACAGCCCAAAGTTTGAAAAAAATGTAAAAACGTCGTGCTNAAAAAAATAATATAAAAAACTATGTCGGAGAGGACCGCCTGTGCTGAACAAAACATAACCCCCCTCACAAAGGCACCACCCCCCTCCCCCCCCCCCCCCCCCCCCCCCTCCCACCCCACCCCAGCATTTAGTACGAACGCTTGTGAGTTAACTGAGTAGTTTGTTTCAAAACTGTAAAGTCTTCACCTTTCACGAGACCTTTCTGATCTTTTCTGGAGCTATAAAGTCAAGCGCGAAATTTCTCAAGGTCCAAAGTGCACTTCCCAGATAAGAACGTCTGCGTGAGAGGCTAACTATGTTAACTGTATATAGCATACAAAAGTTTTAACTGCTGCATAATAATCGTTATAGAGGAAGCTCGCGCCACTGACTAAAGATTAAATAATATTAAAACTACTAATTACAATCAAATATAAAAAGCTAACGGTTAAAAAGTTAAAAGGCTAAAAAGGCTACGACCGGCTACGACTCAAAAAGGCTGAGTGAAAAAAGTTAAGATCAGACTAAAAGATTTCAACCAGAATGTCGTTGTGACGGAAAAAAGTGATCAAATGTTAGGAGTTGTAATAAATATTTCGCGATGAGGAGAGGACTTATAACCTCCTTCGATAAAGCTAACCGTGAGAAACTTTTCCGGGAAAAAACTAATGTAAAATGAAGACTTCATTGAGTGTCTATTTCTTGAGAACACGCGAAAAGAAAATTTACGTCAAACTCGTCCTGGTACTCGTTCTCGATGTCTTCATAACTCAACTGGGGTTTAAAACCTACTTCGGGCGAAGATCGGGGGAAGACACTGTTTTCAAAATGCCAGACTTTAACGTGGGATTGTACAGTTTCTTATTTCTCACCGCTCAATAATCGGAAAAGCATTGACTTGACTTTTATGTCTGTGTCGCAGGTATTAAAGGGGTTGAACGGAATCTCTCCGCCAACTTCATTGTCAGTGTCTGAACATAGCATCTACTGGGTGGATGAACATTCAACCTACATCTCAATGACAAATAAGACAGTTAAGGATACCGATATGACTCACACAATAAAGAATATAAAGGTCAATGCTAAAGGGGTAAGAAGTCTGAAGGTGGTACATCGGAATATACAGAAAGGTAATAAACTATCAGACTATGATATCATGATGTTTTGAAGACAGATAGTACTTGGTATGGGCACCTGCGGACGTCAATTTCCGCGCGTCGCGCGTTTTCCATCCAATTGTTTCGTGTGGTAACGCTACTAGCGAACTCAGCGCAACCACAACAACGACAGAAACGAGAAAATAATCAGAACAAAATCTCTGAACGTGCAGCACACTTAGTGGCAGGCTTCCTTACTGCCTTTGTACCACAAATGTTATCAAACATGATTGAAATGGCAATGCGATCGTCGCTTAGTCAATGGCGATCGTTACCACTTCGATTTCGTCGGGAAATTCGTGGCTCGCTCTACTTTGTTGACAATAAAAGATGGCTGGATATTGGCCCAGGTCCTTTTTTGCGCGCTAAGATCGGCCCATCTTACCCGAACAGGCAAGATAATAGGGCATAGGCCCATCTCGCCCTCTCATGTAGCCAATTAGAACACAGGCAAGGCCGGCCCCTCCGTGTCCTCTTGTGGGGTCAGCCATATAATAAAATTACAGTAGTGTGATAAAACTAGTCTTTTTTGAAGGACTAGCTAAGTCGGCCGTTAGGTTATTTTGACGGATTTTGTTCACTACAAGCATTAAACAACCAGTGCCTTTTTCACCGACGAAACCCCTCGGAAGTACACTACAATGGCGTGCGGATGTCTCAAGATAAATTTTATGAACCTTTTTTCTGAATACCTCACCCTAACCACACAGATCTAAAAACTTTACAAGATTATTTTCATATTTTTAATATTCTATCATCAAATAGATTCTTGATTTCAGTCATGATCAGATTCTGAATTCGATGTTGTATAACCGTAAATCTCTGATATCCACTGCATATTTTAAATTTTAAATGAGTTTAATTTGGTTTTCCTAATTCTCGAGTCACTCAGTAAAGACTTTTTAAAAGACTAAATGAGGGACTTGCAGAGCGGAAATTCGAAGGTGAAAATGCTCTTCCAGTTTGGTCAAGTACCATACAAAACTCTATGCTTTCTAAAATTCGTCTCTGAGTCAGACTGGGCAGTTGTGTATAATCCCTGACCAATATTAAATGTAGGTTTACTTTTTCTCACGTTTCAAGCCCCTCCGATTATAAGCCCGTGTAATAAGACCCCGACCCCTTCCATAAAGCATTCACCCTGGATTGTTGCTTTTACAGATTATATAGGATACGATGAATGCTCGGCATGGACACGTTGCTCTCATCTCTGTCTTTCCGACCCGGATATGCACCTTTTTCGCTGTGAATGTCCTGATAACATGACAGCTGTGGGAAAATGGTATTGGAATAAGACTTGTGCTTGTCCAACGGGGCAGTTTATGGACGCGAAAGGAGACTGTAATTATCGTAAGTATAAAAAAGAGCTCTTGAATTTCTTAAGCCATTAGAGAAATTAGTCTGTAGCGTCACATACTGATGATAATGACGATGATGATGGTGGTGGTGGTGGTGGTGGTGGCGATGATGATCCGATGAGTGATTATAACTTGTATAGCAATTAACATGTGTTTATTTCAAAATGAACGAAGGCTTTTTACATTTTTCTTTTTTATTTAAAGTGGAAGCACCTTGGAATGTGATTGCAATTAAATTGAATACCACCGCAATAAAATTAACTTGGCTGCCTCCAAAAGTTCGCCAACCAGGAAAAATGGTGAGTTGATTTCCGTTTATTTCGAGTGGCCAGTAGGCTCGTGTTTATGCTAAATAGCAAGAGATAAAAGATTGACCAACAATTAGCAAAATAATATTTATAATAATCATAATCATAATCATAATCATAATCATAATAACTGATCATAACAGGGGCACCCAACGTCAATTTTCGGAAAATATCTGTTCGGAAGACGATTTGAGATCTAGAATTTTAGGAACATTTGTTCTAAAATTTCTTTCTAGCCAGCCTCTCCTAGGATTTTCGANATTCGATGTTGTATAACCGTAAATCTCTGATATCCACTGCATATTTTAAATTTTAAATGAGTTTAATTTGGTTTTCCTAATTCTCGAGTCACTCAGTAAAGACTTTTTAAAAGACTAAATGAGGGACTTGCAGAGCGGAAATTCGAAGGTGAAAATGCTCTTCCAGTTTGGTCAAGTACCATACAAAACTCTATGCTTTCTAAAATTCGTCTCTGAGTCAGACTGGGCAGTTGTGTATAATCCCTGACCAATATTAAATGTAGGTGTACTTTTTCTCACGTTTCAAGCCCCTCCGATTATAAGCCCGTGTAATAAGACCCCGACCCCTTCCATAAAGCATTCACCCTGGATTGTTGCTTTTACAGATTATATAGGATACGATGAATGCTCGGCATGGACACGTTGCTCTCATCTCTGTCTTTCCGACCCGGATATGCACCTTTTTCGCTGTGAATGTCCTGATAACATGACAGCTGTGGGAAAATGGTATTGGAATAAGACTTGTGCTTGTCCAACGGGGCAGTTTATGGACGCGAAAGGAGACTGTAATTATCGTAAGTATAAAAAAGAGCTCTTGAATTTCTTAAGCCATTAGAGAAATTAGTCTGTAGCGTCACATACTGATGATAATGACGATGATGATGGTGGTGGTGGTGGTGGTGGTGGCGATGATGATCCGATGAGTGATTATAACTTGTATAGCAATTAACATGTGTTTATTTCAAAATGAACGAAGGCTTTTTACATTTTTCTTTTTTATTTAAAGTGGAAGCACCTTGGAATGTGATTGCAATTAAATTGAATACCACCGCAATAAAATTAACTTGGCTGCCTCCAAAAGTTCGCCAACCAGGAAAAATGGTGAGTTGATTTCCGTTTATTTCGAGTGGCCAGTAGGCTCGTGTTTATGCTAAATAGCAAGAGATAAAAGATTGACCAACAATTAGCAAAATAATATTTATAATAATCATAATCATAATCATAATCATAATCATAATAACTGATCATAACAGGGGCACCCAACGTCAATTTTCGGAAAATATCTGTTCGGAAGACGATTTGAGATCTAGAATTTTAGGAACATTTGTTCTAAAATTTCTTTCTAGCCAGCCTCTCCTAGGATTTTCGAGCATCTAAAATTGTATAATTGCCCATTTTTAACGGATTTTTACCCTAAAAAGGTCACCTATAATTTTTGGGAGCCTTTTTTTTGGCTGAAATTTTCCAAAAGGTAAGTTTTGATCTTTATAATTTTCGGATCACTAGACTCTCAGCTAAGAAATCCAAACAGATGAAAAATTTTTAGGGGGTAAAAATATACCTATATCTACCGTTTAGATACTAAAATACATGTAACAATGCCATGTTTAAGTGGTTTTGAACTATATTCTCGTTGGGTGCCCCTGTCATAATAATAATAGTGAGCGAATGTGGGGGCTCAAAACAACAGCAGTCCCGGCGGTTATGGGAGCCCTTGGCACCATCAAGAAGGACATGGAACACTACACTAACAAAATCCCTGGCAACATCAACATTCAGGAACTCCAACTCTCCTTTCTACAGCCCACCTTCTCAGGCGGGTCCTCTCCATCGAGTAGAAACCCTCTTTGCCACCCAAAGTCCATGGTTTGGACTCAGATGTTGAGAGAGAAAATCACACGCAATTACACTAGTACATCTTGTATAATAATAATAATAATAGTAATAATAATAATAATAATAATAATAATAATAATAATAATAATAATAATGAACATGATGATGATGATGATAATGATGATGATGACAACAACAACAACCCAGGGCCCCATATATATTTATATATATATTTTTTTCATCGCGGTTGATCACCTCCAACTCTTGAATGACTGTGAGGTAATTTTAAAAAAGGTATTAGCTGCAACTCAATTAACTTCATGTTGATTGGAGTCATGTGCTACCACATGACCTGTTAAAAAAATTTTAGGTCAAATTCGATTTAGCGAAATGAACCCGCCCAAACGACTTTCTTAATAGCCTCTAATGTAACGCACAAGTCCAGGAAAACGTTTGACAGGCAAGGTAATTATTTTCAACGTTGTTTAGAGTCACGCGCTTTATTAAGGAATTTTTAGCGCTCCCAGATAGGAATTTTTTAACCTCTTATGTCTAATTTGAATTTGAGTTCGTCATTCCTAACAATCTTAATGATTAAGAGGGGTTAGTCATATAAATTCTGCAGTATGTAAATGGTTTTAAATTTATATAATTTTGCGTCTATTCCATCTAACAGTGGTATTATATCTTCCTTGCGATCTATCCAAATGGAATTCCCCGCTGGCCTTTAAGTCGTACCACTTCTACATCTTTTGTTATCAGCCATTTGAAAAGCAGCGTTAGGTACACGTTTGCTGTTTCAGTGGGGTCCGTGGACGCCGCATTCTTACAGATAGCATCAGGCTATTGGATGGTCAGTGATTCTCTTTATTAATATATTATTGTTCAGATGAACTTCTGGCTCGATCACACTGTTTCTCTGCTTGTACTATTTAGTATGTGTGGCCTACATGTTGTCCAATTTAGAAATAGTCATTCATGGTCTTAACCCTTTAAGTCCCAATATCCACATACAAATTCTCCAAACTGATCTCCATACATTTCCTTAAGGAAATAGTTGAGAGAATTTGATGATAGATCAGGGCATTTTCTCTCAGGTGATCATTTATTAATCCTCATAACTTACCTCTTGACAGTGTATGGATATTGTTAAGAGAAAATTGATCTTGGTCACTATTGGGACGTTTCTTAAACAACAGAGTAAATCTTTAAAACGCCTAATAGCCCGCGAGCAAGCTCTCCATTTGGGGGATATCGTGAACTGCAGACGCGAGAGAGGCACTCGAGTCCCGGCTTCGCCGCTCGCTCGCGCGTTCTCTCTTCACTCGCCCAAATAGGAGAGCTTGCCCGCAGGCTAAACGCCTAAAGGCCCAAAGTTTTTCAAGTTTTGGTTTTAGCTTCCTTTTTACCTGAGCCCAGCCAAAAACACTTTCTGAGTTTTTGAATAGCTGCGCATTCAGTAGTACGTACCTTATATCAAAAGTAGTTGCTTTCAACGCAACTACTCAGCTGACTACTTTTGATCTATGTGAAGTCGAAGACCTTTTTGAACGTATCATATTTAAAAGGCATGAACCGTTGTTGTAAGACTGTATTTTCGTGCCTCCCTTGTGTCTCAAGTAGTTTCTGTCAGTATACAATATATACGTTATCGACCAATGATGAGGTTAAGATGACTGGGTCGTCAATAACAGCCCAAGAAAAAACGAGGCCAATATCCAGCTATCTAAATGGAACAGGCGAAAAAGGCCAGAATGGCAGAAAATAAAACTTTATTTTGCAGGACGAACACGGGAAAACCCGTGCATGCAAGATAGGCCTATTTTACCTGTTACCAGGTTCAGCCTGATAATGAAAATAATACTGATACCAAATAAATTTTCATTCTCCACAGAGATACCACCTTTACCTACCACATCAAGGTTGTCAACTGCCAACTCATCTCTATCAGCATCTACAGGCTCCACGCCTGCTTCACCATCCAATCAGCTACAACTTCAAAAGATTAACAACGAGTCGTTTCCTTATTGGGCAATCGGTGTAACTGTGGTTGCCCTCGGTATCATTATATTCGCCGTCGTTCTGCTCCTTCGTAGATACAAACGCCGCACACGGCAGAGCGATCGCCGATCGCATCGATGCGATCATCGTATGATCGATGCGTCAACTACTTTGTCGTCACTCAAAGATCCACTGGAAACATAGAGGGTGGGTTTTAAATTAAGTTTAACGCGTGCCTATTGTTAGTGTCCCCCAAAAGCTCGAGTATCCCCTCTATAGTCATCGAAGTCCGTCCTTTCAATTCTTTTAAGTCTTATTAGCACAAATACAATACAATCAGTGTTCTAGAACAAGCTGAAAATTAGTCTGTACTAGGCTTTCAGATAGTAGGGACGTCACGAACATAAAACAACCTCTCTCTCTCCCCCCAGCCCCCGCGAGTTTTTCGCATCACTTGTGACTGCGCAACTGCACTAATCAGTCTTGGAACCTCGAACAGGCTAGCTGGAGATAGCATACATCTTATGCAGCTTAAGCTCCGCAAAACAAAAGGTGTTTGTTTTATTTTGCAGTCCCTTGAAGTAGATGACACGCACAGGAATAAGCTGCAATCCTGCCTCAACTTAAAGCTTCGGGAATGACTTTCTAATAAAAACTTCATGCCTCTCAGACCCACTGGAATGTGAAGATAGCACAAATACGATAACTTGAAGTTGACTTTTGGTCTCTTCTCGCACCTTGAAATGTTGTTTAAAATTAAAGCGCCCACTCCCACAAGCAGGCTTCAAGTACCCCTGTTAAATATTAAGTGCCTTTATTCCAACGGCCCACGTTCGATATATTAAAATTCTAAAATTACACCGAGGCTTTCTAGTCATGCATATTTCTATATTTGGTTTGATTTTATTTCTGCTCAAGTCTCTTCTTGGAATTGCGAGACAATAGAAAAATTTGCAGTTTTGTCCATAAAGCCTCGGTGTCTTGTTACAATTTAAATATATCGAGCGTGGGCTACAAGCGCTCTCTTCTTGTGTCACACCTTTAATTTGGTTATTTTCCAAAAGGAAAATCGATAAATAAATAGTCAACCCTTCTGGAATAAGCCTTTTTAGTTTATTCCTTCACAGGCGGCCCAGATGTAATGTGTGCCAATATATTAGTCTTCACATGGACAAAATGGGACGAGTCGTCGAAACTCCCATGAACTAAAAATAGTCCAAAAGTCAAAATATAATAACAAAACAAAGCTAAGATACCTTTAACTGAACATCTCCTTCTTCTTCCTGGCCGTTTAAAGTGGCATTTTGTTGAGTTTTGCAATCGTAGGTACTATCCACTATGACTGCAAAACTCCACAAAATGCCACTTTAACCAGCCAGGAAGAAGAAGGCAACATTCAGTTAAAGGTACCCTAGCTTTGTTTTGTTTGACTTTTTTTTGGACTATTTTAGTTCATGGGAGTTTCGACGACTGTTATCATCCCATTTCGACTAGCCGATTTTGCAAGCACTTAGCAGCACGACTCGTACTAGATCAGTTGAGTGTTGCTCTTCTGCCATTACAATAATTTTAACCCCATAAAGACCACAAACCCAACATAATTACATGGCTATAAACCATTTTACTTTGTCATGACTTTTAGTTCCGGTAAATCCAGAGATGCCAACCTCAGGAGATCTAAAATCTGGAGACTCTCTCTTTTTCACTACCCCCAGACAGAAATTCAATGAACCCTGCCCCCCCCCATCTCCCCACCCCCGACAAATTTGGAAATCACTAAGGACATTATATGAAGTCTTACATGAAGTATATACTATCAAAATTCGCGATCATCGTTTTGACCCGGGTGTTTTGATGCCGGAAATAATCATTGTCAGTGACTAAATAGGTGCAAAAATGCCCCAGAAACCGTACAACGAGTAAGAAAAATTCAACTTTTGAGCTAAAAATGGGCTAAATCTTAAACTAAGGCACAGAAAAGCTCAAAAGATGATTTTATCCGGGAGATATGGTGACCCATACGGGAGACCGGGAGATTCTTGTCATATCCGGGAGAGTTGGTATGTATGTAAATAAACTGCTGTATTTGATTGAACTGAACAGTTTCGAGGTTTTAACCAAGGCAAGCTGTAGTCATGCTACAGTCACACTTCAACCATAAGCCTGCAGAACAGTAGACTACGAGTAGTCCCCCATTTTTCCTCGGGGGTAGTAGAGCGAGCGAAACGCGAGCGCGCGTGAAAATCACCCCACGCAAGAAAAGGCGACACGCGGCGGGGAGAGAGAAATCATTTTTCTCTTTTCCCTCCGAGTGTCGCCTTTTCTCGCGTGGGGTGATTTTCACGCCCGCTCGCGTTTCGCTCGCTCTACTATCCCTGAGGGAAAATGGGGGACTACTCGTAGTCTAGCAGAACAGACGCTATTTTTCACGTTTTAGCTTAGGCGAGAGTACGAAGCGAAGTGGAGGGCGAGATACGCACCTTCCCCCGTTGCGCTACATATCTACTTCTTGCCCGGCTGAAATACGCGAAGAAAAAATGCGCCTGTTCAGCAGGCTACGTCTCAACCTGCAAGCAAGCTCAGTCCACCAGGGAGCTTGCACACAGGCTATGCTATGATAGGCCTAAGACACAAATCGCTGCACTGTTGTGACAAGCTATCAGTATTTAACTTAAGCTTCGTTTTCTCTTCCGTGTATGGAAGAAATATCGGAGACTTACTCACTTAGGGTGTTCAGATGTCGCTAGGGGTTGTGTGTAAAGAAATGTCGCTTAATATAAAAGAACTAACGTCTGGTATACTGTGTTAGAGCTTAGTCTCCTTTAGGGGTTAAATAAAGCCTTAGCAACGCCTAGATTGGTCTCCTTCACTCTTCGACGAGTATCTAGAGTATACCTGTCTTTTTCATATAGGATTTTCCTCAATAAATTTTGTGGTGTCTTTGCGTTTACTGGACGTCATTACAACGTGTAGAACAAAATATATCCGGCGTGGCAGGCGCAAATAGGGGAGTGGGAGGGGGAGGAAAGCGCGAAACGGGACCCCCCTCCCTTCTTCCCTTCCTCCCAATCCCCTACCTATTTCGACGCCTGCTAAGCAGGCTAAAAAAAACTGTAATATACAAGTGTAATACAATGGAAATTAAATCAAGTAGGCAAAATTTTTAGTGGCCAATATTTCGACTAAACATTGAATTTTACTTTGAAGCATATAAACTTATCTAAATTTAGGCTGCACTTGGTTAGTTTTCACACTTCTGAACTCATAACAGTACTAATAGTTATGAGGCAGACACGGAGGAGCTTTTTCATCACTATCCTGCTTTATTCACTACCGCAGACAGCATCCTTCAATATTGAGCAATATTAAATAAACTACGTCCAAAAGTCTAACTAGCCTACGGGCAAATGTGGATTCTGTAATACTGGCTACAGTTAACACAGATTAACCGTTAAACATTTTGTAAGGGGTTAGAAAGCAGATCAGCCATCAGTCTCTGAAGTAGCCTGAGTATCAGGCCTTCCTAAGGGACTAGGGGAGAGGTCTCTCCCTGTTTCGCTTCCATCTTTCCCCTTTTCCCCAGAAACGCCTGATACTCAGGCTATCTCTGAAGTACCTTGCCATTTCCTCTATCGTTCATATTCGTGACCTGACGCATGTCACGCACAGCTCATTACACGGCTCATCAGGAGATCACGTTACTATTGCTTACATGGTATAGTAGCTTATAGTGAAATGGAGGGACAAACGTTGATGTTTGTCTTTTTCCTTACGTGTTCTTCATTAGTAGTGAGTAGAAAATTTCCAGCAGTTAGTTCTAGACACTTAAAAGGAAGGCAAGGTAATGCTCGACACAGAATATTCAACAGTGAGTTTCGTTTAAAGAGAGATCTACGCCCGAACAAGCAAGTGATTCCTGGTTCACCTTCTAGGAAACGTTATTCCCGCTATGTGTTTTCAGGACCAGAAAAGAGGTCTTTAAATTCAGAAACTTCCGATCAGGACCGCAAGGTGAGATTGAAAAACAAGTTCAAAGTGTTCTTAGTGTTTGTTTGGTGTATTTTGTCTACTCAGTGTGTTGAAATTACTATCACTGTGGGAGTACGTGAACCCTAATCGTGCTATCGATTTCAAAATCATAAAACACAATGGAGCACATCCTTTTCTCAAACTCCACCCATTCAACGGTCGGTTAATATAAAACAATATACCCAGCTTATTTATGACATCCATAGCTGTTGTGTTTCAATAGCCAAGACTGTTAGCGTCTCAGTTAAATCCCTGACCGGAAGTACTGATTCTATTTTAGAGCCCTCGGTGCCTCATACACGACCCTCCTTCTCGCACCTTGAAATGTTGTTTAAAATTAAAGCGCCCACTCCCACAAGCAGGCTTCAAGTACCCCTGTTAAATATTAAGTGCCTTTATTCCAACGGCCCACGTTCGATATATTAAAATTCTAAAATTACACCGAGGCTTTCTAGTCATGCATATTTCTATATTTGGTTTGATTTTATTTCTGCTCAAGTCTCTTCTTGGAATTGCGAGACAATAGAAAAATTTGCAGTTTTGTCCATAAAGCCTCGGTGTCTTGTTACAAATTAAATATATCGAGCGTGGGCTACAAGCGCTCTCTTCTTGTGTCACACCTTTAATTTGGTTATTTTCCAAAAGGAAAATCGATAAATAAATAGTCAACCCTTCTGGAATAAGCCTTTTTTAGTTTATTCCTTCACAGGCGGCCCAGATGTAATGTGTGCCAATATATTAGTATTCACATGGACAAAATGGGATGAGTCGTCAAAACTCCCATGAACTGAAAATAGTTCAAAAGTCAAAATTAAATATAATAACAAAGCAAAGCTAAGATACCTTTAACTGAACATCTCCTTCTTCTTCCTGGCCGTTTTGTTGAGTTTTGCAATCGTAGGTACTATCCACTATGACTGCAAAACTCCACAAAATGCCACTTTAACCAGCCAGGAAGAAGAAGGCAACATTCAGTTAAAGGTACCCTAGCTTTGTTTTGTTTGACTTTTTTTTGGACTATTTTAGTTCATGGGAGTTTCGACGACTGTTATCATCCCATTTCGACTAGCCGATTTTGCAAGCACTTAGCAGCACGACTCGTACTAGATCAGTTGAGTGTTGCTCTTCTGCCATTACAATAATTTTAACCCCATAAAGACCACAAACCCAACATAATTACATGGCTATAAACCATTTTACTTTGTCATGACTTTTAGTTCCGGTAAATCCAGAGATGCCAACCTCAGGAGATCTAAAATCTGGAGACTCTCTCTTTTTCACT